GTGATCGTGAGGTGATGATGGAAACAGGTATCGGGCATCAAAAGATCCAAAACAAATATATCGATGTGAATGAGGGGGGTTGGAGTGGAGACCCAAAGCCTATCTGTAGACAACTGTAACCCCACAGAAGGGTTACAAGGAAGGGACAATTCAGCCAGGGTATATTATAGCACTGATGAAACACACATAATTCCTCTAGTTCCTGAATTCTAATCCTTCCCCCCATGATCCAGTTCTACATTAAAAATCTGGGTAGACTGGAGTACACACATTGGTACAGATAAGAGCTCTTGTCACATGGAATTCAGGACAGATAAAACCCTCAGGAACAGTAGTGATCTCATGAGGGTAGGGGGATGGTGTGGGCCGGAGAGAAAGGGGGTACCCATCACAAGGTTGGATATATGGCCCACCCCTCAGGGAGACAAATAACAGAAATGTGGGTGAAGGAAGACAATGGACAGTGTAAGACACAAAATAACATTAATAATATATAATTGATCAAGGATTCACGAGGGTGGGAGGGTGGAGAAAAAAGAGGAGCTGATACTAAGGGCTCAAGTAGAAAGAAAATGTTGATGGCAACATATGTATAAGTATGCATTATACAATTGAATGATGGATTGTCATAAGATTTGTAAAAAACCCCAATTTTAAAAAAAGTGGCCTGGCATAGGCATCTAACCACCTCTAATTTCATAAAAAATCACCATTAACAACCCAAACCCACGGCTGATTCCTATGAAGCAGAGGCAAGGCTTATTTCTCTCTCCAACCTATATAATTCAGAATGGAGCCATCCCTCTTAAAGCACTTGCTACTTCTCTGCTGGATTCAATAATTCATAGCAAGGGCTACGGAAAACTTGCAGACAATGCTCACATTTTGGGGGTTCATTAAGAAATTAACAGATTATAATTCAGGATCAGAAAAAACTTAGAATCTAGTACTGAGGTCAGAACAACATTTTCTCAACTGTACCCACAGGCAGGCTTCTCCCTGGCCTCGTGGTCCTCTGGCCTTCGGCTCCTGGGGCTGCTCTGGTTAAGTGTTAAGTGCCCAGAGAAACATCCTCCATCAACAGGCTCCCTGCCCAAAGGCACTCAGCTTCCTAGCTTTGTGTTCTGGGAAGTCTACTGTGCCATCTCCAGGTTCTGCTGCCTGTTTCTCTGCTGCTGTTTCACATCATCTCGACAGCTTTCTGTCTTTTGGCTGGAGTTCCTAACACCAGCACACTGGGTCCAAACGATGCACCCCACTTCCATTTCTTCTTGGTGGTAGTCAGGTCCTGTTTTCACCTCTGGGATGACTTGTTTAAAGCCGAGAAGGTGGTGAAAAATGACCGATCCACTCAGGATTTTTTTTTAAAGATCATTTTATTGGGAGTTCTTATAGCTCTCATAAGAATCTATACATCAATTGTATCAAGCATATTTGTACATATGTTGTCATCATTATTTTCTAAACATTTACATTCTATTTGAGCCCTTGAGCCCCTCTTTTTACCCTTCCTGTCCCCTCATGACCCCTTGATAAATTATAATTATTATTTTCATATCTTATACCAACCGGTCTCTCCCCGGGGGTTTCTTCCCTCCTCCTCTCCCCACCTCCCCACTACCCTCCTAGTATTGCTAATCCCATTTCTGTTCCCGACGGGTTTATCTGACCTGGATTCTGTGTGTCCCGTACCTGTGTACTAGCAATGCAAGGCAGGATTGGGGTGGTAGGATTCTTTTGGTGGGAATTACAAGACAATGTCTACAAAGGTCATATTATAGGAACCCATCATACCCCACAAGCCCATATTGACTTGAAATGCAAAAGCAGTGAAAGTGAACTGCTCACTAATCTTCAACTGTTAACCATCAAGACTCCACACAGCACAGTTAATATATGCTGAACAGCATGCAGTCAAGTTGAAACTGTCAAAAAATTTAACTGTGTAGAGTGAGAACTTCACATTTTACTTTGAAGATATTTTACTACTAATCATAGCTTTATTCCACTTACTTCAATCAATGCAATCTGATGATTTTAAGAAAGTAAAACAGATTCTGCAGGAAAAGTATACCATATCTCAGTTCTTTATTAAGGTAGTTAAAAAATTAACATTAAAAGAAAAAATAGAGACACAGAAACCTCATAACAAAAGACATGATGCATTAAAAATGGTTTAGGTACCATCATAAAATTATTAAATTGATAAAATGTGGGTATTACCTACAGGTAATCATTTCATAAAATGTACTGTAATTAAGCCTGGTAATATTAAATAGAACTATAAAAATGCTTCCTTCTTTGACCTAATACTTTCATATTTGGGTATATGCTAGTAGTTCCTGCTAAATACAGCACAGCAGTTATTTATACAAGAGAAAAACTGAGACCAACCTAAATGCCCTACAACAAGTGAGAAGTGTAAAAGCAGTAAGGCGCCCTCGTGGTGCAGTGGATTAAGTGTTGAGCTGCTAAAGGCAAGGTTGGCAGTGCAAATCCAACAGGCACTCTGCAGGAAAATGATGAGACTGCTCCTGAAAAGACTGAGTCTCGGAAATCCTACAACAGTTCTACTCTGTCTTCTCTTTCTCCACGGAGCTACACTAGAGCCCTGGAGCCACGTGAAGACCCACACCAGTGCTGAGATGCTTCCATCCCCACCGAATCCACAAGACTTTCCACCCACTGGCCTGTGATCTCCCATTCCATGTGTGTGTGAGTCTAAAGAGGAACTTATAGACTAGTATCAGACATGGGCTAATATTGAACTTATGGACTTGATCTGGACTGGGCTGGGCTGTTTTCTTAATATACAATTGCTCTTTGATATAAAGTTCTATCTTACACACTTATGAGTGTCTCTGGATTTGTTTCTCTAGTCAACCTGGATCAATACACTTTCGCCAAAGACTCCAATCCACAGATGTTTCCTCAGTTATGTTTTATAATTCTTTGGCCATACATCTCTTATAGTTTATCCTATTTCAGTAATCTGTCATAAACTTATATCTCTTACTTTGAGGTTCTTAGAGGGTAGAAAATCTATTATTATTTTTATCTTTGAAGCACAAAGAATGCAATATACAACTGCTATCAAAACTAAATTTACAGACCAAACACTAGGTTTCAAAGGCTAACTACTAAAATATTTAATGAAACAGTCAGAGTGTTTCCACGAACCACTCTTCCTTCCATCTATTTGAGAGTACTATATTCTTTAGGCCAGAACCCTCAAACAGGAATGTAGGGACAAGGGCTAAAACACTGCAGTGCTGTCAGTTGACTTAAATAAATCTTTAAAATTTTAAAACATTTATACAGAGCCTTTGAGATCTATCACATCAGGACAGCTGACAAATCTAAATAGAAACTGGAAACATTTTATAGCTTCTTTAATGCCCTAAAACAGACCACAAATTCACAGCTATAGCAAAAATATCAAGAAGCCCAATGGTGCTGTGGGTTAGGTGTTGAGCTGCTAACTGCAGGGTGAGCGGTTCAAACATACCAGCTGTTCTTTGATAGAAAGATGAGGCTGTCTGGTACTATAAAGATTTACAGTCTGGTAAACCCTATGAATAGGTTCCAATTATTTGGCCAACTGCCCTTTGCAGCAAAAAAAAAAAATAATAATAATTACTGAGCATCCCTCTAGCAAACTTTTGTTTATAGTCCAACTTTTGGAGAGCTCATCAAGGATAAACAGTAGGTATCTGCTTTTGTAGCCCCCTGGACCGTCCAGTGATGACCCCCCCACCCCCAAGGTCTCTGGGAGTGAACAGTAATGAAATATACACTAGTTTTAAGTCACTTAGTCAATAAAACCATTAATAGGTGGTAAATGGTGGCACTGGTGGCACAGTGCTGAGCTGCTGACAGGTCAGTGGTCGGAACCTAGGAGCCATTCCAGCAGCCTTGGAAACTCTGGGCAGTTTTACTCTAACATGAGAATCCACTCAATGACAATGGGTTTTATACAAAACTGCAAGATTTTTGAGTTGTTAAAATTATTCAAAGAGAATCTCAACCCCCAAATGAGAAGTTTTAACAATGCAACGAAATACTGTCATTGTGTGTGTATGTGAGGGGGGTGGGCTCTAAAATATCCATGGAAATGTTTCCATGAGCTTTCTGAAGCCCCCAAGCAGTTATGCCCGACACCTAGAAGCAGGCTGCTTTTCATCGGATCCTTCTGCCAGTTAAACTGAGAAAACTTGCGTGTATCTGACAAGATCAGAGTTTTGTAAGCCAGAAAACACCTGTTTTGCCCATCCTGTGCCTTCAGGCTTCTAAAGCAATCTCAGATATAAACTAAACTGTGGGCTTTTATATATGCTATACCTACATTTTTGTATATTAAAAATGTCCACATTTTAAAGGCAAATGCCACGTGTCTCAACCACTAACAGTAATTCCTTCTTCTGACTTCTGTGCCGTTCTGAGTGTTAAGATTCTACACGTAAAAACCAACTGCTACAAAGCGAAGTTGGACGTCAAAGTTCCAGACAGAACAGGCTCTCTAAGTCAGTCGTGGAGGCCCACGAATGGCCAAAGAGGAAGCCCTGGCGCTGAACGGTAATGGAAGCTGCAACTCAGCTAGAGCAGCTCTCACCACGGGCCTGATCGGCCACTGGAGGGAGGGCGAGGCTGGACTGCAGTGCACACGCCCTCTTTAATGGAAGGACTGCTCCCCCCACGCATCCAACTCAGAAGGCGTGGAGTCGGGACGCGCAACTCTCCGGAGTCACTGTTGCAGTCAAATGGAACACAGTTCCTCCGACAGCCTGGCCAGCAAGGGGTGAGGCCCGCGGGGTCCTCTAGAACCTAGCACAATCGGAGCCATTCCAGAATCTCCAGCCCAAAGGAGACCGAGCCCAGGCGCTTCGGAGGAAACTGGACCCAACCCACGGCTACGCCCCCTTGCCGGTGCCCCGACCCAGGGGCCCAGCTCTCCCGGACAGGCGACTTTCCCTCCCGACAAGGCAGCCGGGGTCACCCACCTTGCATTCGGGGCTCTTTTTCTCCTCCTCACAGAAGTTGACGGGCGCCAGGCCGGGCAGGTAGAAAGCGGCGCCTCGACGCGGGCCTGGGGTTGCCCCCAAGAGAAGCAGCAACAGCCACAGTCGTGGCCACCGAGGTGGACCCGACGCCAGCAGCCCCCCGCTCATGACGGCTGTTTCGGGGTCAGGGCAGCCGAGCCGATGGGGTAACGAGGGAAAGAAGGGTCGGCGAGGCTCGGAGACCAAGACCAGGCCGCCGGAGACCTAGGAGGCCAGCCCCGCGACGGACAGTTCCGGTTACGCCAGGAGACACCGCGGGTCCCACAACAGAAATCGAACCGGATCCCAGCAGAGCATGCGCAGGCGCATGCTCAGTGAGCGCGCCTCCACCCACCCACTCCGCTCCAAACGTTTCTGGGAGGGAGCGCGAAGAAAATCCACTTTCCGGGTTTTCAGCGGGCCGGCTGGGCTGGGACCTGGGGAGCTGTTCGGGCGCTGGTATTTGGATTCCAAGATTCCAATTCCGATCTAGAATTCTTTTGGGGCACGGCGCAGTGCCCTGCCTGTCCCGCGTTCACCGTTCGCCGCGCTTTGTTAAAAGTCCCACAAACAGTATTTGGCTTTCCCACTACACTGCCCTCGACACTCTTGACCCTTCTCAGTGCAGGCTCGGCAGAAAGTATTTGAAGATGGATTTAAGAGTTGGTGGTAGAATGGGGAGAAATTGTGGAGGGAGGGTGGGGTGGAAAGGGGGAACCGATTACAAGGATCTACATGTAACCTCCTCCCTGCGGGACGGACAACAGAAAAGTGGGTGAAGGGAGACGTCGGACAGGGCAAAATATGACAACATAATTTATAAATTATCAAGGGCTCATGAGGGAGGGGGAAGCGGGGAGGGAGGGGGGGAAATGAGGAGCTGATGCCAGGGGCGTAAGTGGAGAGCAAATGTTTTGAGAATGATGAGGGCAATGAATGTACAAATGTGCTTTACACAATTGATGTTATGTGTGAATTGTGATAAGAGTTGTATGAGCCCCTAATAAAACGATTTTTTAAAAAGAATGGGGAGAAATTTGGGACACACCAGGCTGGGGTAAGAAAACAAATGGGAGCACGAACCACAAACCCTAAAATAGAGGTGTATGCATTTTCCAAGCATTAGAAGCAGTTGCGCATTCTTGTGTGGGACTGGGCTTGCACAGAATAGACAGACAGACTTCTTTACCGTGGACTGAGCCGGGAAGAAAAGAAAGGAGTGGGCGATTTGAAGAAGGCCGTGCTGACTTTTCTTTGCAAAAGAAGACATGGGCGCACGCGAGCTAAATAAGAAAAAGTGTTCTGGCGAAAGAGAAACTCGGTATGAACACCCTCAAGCAAGTCCCTGTCACTTTCCCATTGATGATGTGATGGCGTGTCTGCTCATGTACACGGACGTGTGTGCACGCCGGTGTGTGTGTGTGTGTGTGTGTGTGTGTGCATTTTTCATTTGAGCATCTCTCAGTGAGAAACATGCTAATTTGGTGAGTTTTACATCTCAGTCTTAAGAGAGTGTGTCAGTTTAGTTTTAAAACTCCAAAGCCAAGCTCGCTGCCATCCTGTGTTTTCCGAGTCAAGGTGACCCTCAGAATTGCTCCTGTGGGTTTCCGAGACTCGAACTCTTAAACGGAGCTGCGAGAGGTTGCAAATAGCTGACAGCCTCACACTTAACTACTAAGGCACCTGGGCTCCTCCGAGAGGCAGGGAGTCTATCCAGTTTAGAGTTCAAGCCCAGGCAAGAAAGACTTCAGGAAAGTTTGAGCCCCACGGAATCGGATCTACAACGCAGCGCTCGCAACTGGAGGTCTGACCAGCCGAGCATCAATCTTCGCTCCCAGGCCCGCCAGCTCCCGAGCAGCTACCTCCGCAGACCCCAGAGTTGGGCATCAGCAAAAACCCGGAGAACTGGAGCCTTTCTCAAGAAGCAAATGGTATCTGGACTCCAGACTAGCGGCTTGAGGAGTGCGCGGAGCGCGCATGCGTGGCCTCGGCCAGCCACACCTCATCCGCTCCCGAGGCGACCTCTGCCTGACTTCCGCCTCCGGGGTTCAGACACGTCATCCCGCGCGGCGGGCTCTCGGCCGGGCGACCCGGATACCACACTTCCGAATCGGGCCACTCCCACGGGAACGGCTCGCCCTGAGTTTCCTAGGCTACCTCACGCGTGGTGTCAGGGAGTGTGGGAGAGGTGGCTTTGCCCTTCACCCAGGCCCCTGAGTGAAGTCTTTGTCTTGTGGCCAGGAGGAGGCCTGGGCGCTGTTGTTTAAACGACCCAAAGGTGCACTGTTTAAACCCCGCTGCCGCGGTGCACAGGGAAAATGTGGCAATCCCTTCTGCAAAGAATGCAGCTGTGGGAAGCCTAGTGAGCAATTTTACATTGCCCTATATAGGGTCAGTATGAATCAGAATCATATTACCTGGGTGCTTCTGCTCTGGGCTATGAGGCAGAAAGGCATACGAGAAATGGGGGTTCTAATTCCAAACTAGAAAAATAATTTGCTTTCTATTACACCCCCACCCCCACTGTAGCCCTCCTTTTCTCGAAGTACTAATACTTCTGACTCAGCTGTAAAATTGAGAGACACTGCTAAAGGATTGAGAGGCTGACGTTAGCACCCACACCATGACTACTGAGAAGAAAGACCTGGTGATTCCCTAAAGATTGCTCAGACCAAGCCCACTGCTATGGAGTTGCTTTTGACTCATAGTGACCCTATAGGGCAGAGTAGAACAACTAAGGGTTGCTGAGAAAGCCTCATCTTTATCCGGAGGAAGAGCTGTTGGGTTCAGTTCCACACAGAACACAGTAGGCCACCAGAGCTCTTCCCCTGAAGCTCAGGGCCTACAAAAGGCTACTCTGTCACATGGGGTCCTTATGAATCAGATACACTCTGGCACCCAGCAACAACCACCTGGCAATTGTCTCTTCCTGCCTCTCCACCAAAGTAATTTATATAGCCTGTTTTTCTGTATCCCCTAAGATTTGGGTCTAGGCTTGCCAGCGGATAAAAGCACAGAGTGTCTAAGCCTAATTTGAATTTCAGATAAACAATGATTTCTTAGTAGAAGGATATCCCAAATATTGCATGGGACACACATGGCTTATATCTGGCAACCTGACTACCGTGCCAAGTTGAAATTACTAGCAAATCTTCCATCTACAGGAATTGCACATTACGTTTTGTCAGCTCAATGCCTGTAAATGAATGGGCTTTCAAGATCTTCAACAAAATCTTCTATTTTCTGACATGATTAAATGGTCATAGTCCAAGGGGCAGGAAAAAAAAATCACCTGTCTCTGACCACTTTCCTTTCCAGCCTAATCCCTCAAATTTGAAAATGAAAACTAGCCCAAACCAATAGGTTATAAACCCCACTCATGGTAGGTCAGAGTCAATGTGTAGGCGATCATCTTACAATTTAAGACCACAGAACGATTCCCAGATTTGATTTGTAAACTAAAGTAGGATTTATAATCAGAAGAGGGATTATTCTGCCAACAGAACCTGGAAACATGCAGGCACAGCGGTAAACACCAAATTAACACCCGGAGACGCCAACAGGCCGGTCCCAGAGACTGTGTGCTACTGCAGTGTTGCTGATGGCATATTGCTCTCATGCAGATAGAGACATTCTAATCATGCCACCAATTTGGTTTGGTCTGAATGTATGCCACCAGTCAACCCCCTAGTTCCAATTTGGCTTGCCATGTAGTTTGCTACAGAGGGAGAATGTTTGGCTGATGGATTCAAATACTTGGTCTCCGCTAGGATTTTTTAACAATTTTTTTAAACAATTTTTATTGCGGTATTGAGACAGGACAAAGCGCAGCACTAGAGATAAAGAAACCTGTGGAATGTGAAAAGCCCCAGCAACCTTCAGTTGCCCCCCACATTCCACTTTCTGTCTGCTGGCCAGCCCTTGCCCCACTCACTTTCCCCTCCTATCCCTCTGGCCCCCACCCCATGAATCCACTCCTCTTCCTTATAAAAGGCTCTTGGATGGGGAATGGACTTAGACTCTGGAAAAGAATCCACTGATTCACATGTCAACACCATAAAATCCATCCTTTTGTTATAACCTGCTTGGTGTTGGTAACTCCTGCAGAGCGACTTCAGTAACCGTATCATTTGCATACTATGTAATTCATGTTAAGTGTACATTCAATGAATTTTAGTAAAGTTGAGAAATGGTACAACTATCATCATAATATAGTTTTTGAACATTTCCATCACTCCAGTAAGATCCATCATGCCTTTTCACATTTAATCCCCCACTTCATACCCAACCATCATGTATTAGACTGTGGCGATCTGCATGGTAGGCAGTTCAAAACCACTAGCAGCACCACAGAGGAAAGACTGGGCTTTCTACTCTCATAAAGAGTTACAGTCTAGGAAACCCACAGGAGGTCACTATGTGTCAGCATTGATTCAATGGAAGTGCGTTTGGTTTTTTGTTTTTCATACCAAACCCTAGGCAACCACTAACATATACTTTTTGACGTGCTGTATTTGCCTCTTTTTATAAATAAATAAATTTATAATTTTTCCCTTTAGTTTCTCTGTAGCTAATATAACAACAGCTAATATAAATTTACCCCCCCAGGGGAAAGGGCATATTTTTAGTGCCCTGACAAGTTGTCCTAGATTGCTGGATTGTCCTGGATCCTGCAATGTTAGTGCCCTCCAGTCACATACTATTAGGAGCACATCAGGAGTGGAGCAAGTTAGATTTCTCACTCATTGCAGCAAGGGCCAATCACACCATGAGGAACCACGGGGCACCCAACCAAGATGGTGCTGCAAAGGAGTTCATGATATGAGCTGGACTTGAGTTTGGTGATTTGCGGGGAGAGTTTAAAGGAGTGGAGCTTTGCTCTGGATTGGTGGCTGTCAGTCAGGCATCAAGGGTGCTTTTGCTTTCTAACATCTTTTCTTGTCAATTAGCTGAAGGTTTACAGAGCAGATCATCCATTACACATTCAACAGGTTATATACATTTTGTTTTGACTCATCCATTGCAAGCCCCTCAATGGACCATCACTTGCCCCACTTCTTCCTTGTGTTTCCTGTTTCCATCTGTAGTAGTTACATAATCTCTTGTCAACCTCAGACCATTAAGAGTGAAGGGGTGGAGCTTAGCCTGTCAATCAGGTTACAGCTTGATGACCTCATTTGGAGACGCTAAGGAGATCAATAGCTCGCTGGAGGTGGGACACATACACACTCTCTGCTTTGACATTCCAGATGACAAGACACTTGGAGCTACGCTGATAGA